AATGTGACAAATCCTCCAGTGGACTCTCAGAGGGAATGAACGGCTTCCATTAAAATCCAAATGTGAAACTGTCACAACACCTTTCGATGGAGTGCATACTCCAGACATGGCACCCCTCATGTTGAGCCCCTACCACGTGGCAGGTATGATTCCTGGAGCTGATTCTTTGGAATGGTCAAAAAGACAGGCACCATCCCTAGGCTCATGAAGCCCACACTTCAGAAGATAAGATGGACAAGAAAATTAAGCAGTACACCTGCTGATTTCAGGTAACAGTAAGGACCACGAAGAAAATAAAAAGAGTTAAGACAAATACAACTTTAGGGGATGCTCAAGAAAGTTCTCAAAAATTAAGATAATGAAGCAATGATCTGAATGCCAAGAACAAGCCAGACAAAGAGAAGGACATTTGAAGAGAAATAATAACAAATGCAAAGACCCTAAGACATACATGAACATGATGAGTTCACGGTATGGAAAGAAAAACCCCTCCTCCACCTTGGCTTACATATAAGGAAGAAAGGGAGAGGGGAGAGGCTGGAGACCAGGGAGGAGAACTACACAGAGGCCAGATCACATGAAGTCTCATTGGTCATGATAAAGTATTTTTACTTATTCTACGTGTATTAGAAGCCATTAGAAGGTTTAAGGAAAGAAGCGATACGATCTAATTTCAAGTTGATACCATTTACACACAATTTTAAAAAACAGCAATCTACTATACAGGAAAATAAAGTGGATCATTGGTTGTGCTGGGCTGAGAGTGTGGGTTCTAACTGCAAAGAGGCACAAAGAGGTATTTTTTAGGGCAACAGAAATGTTCTGTCTTGATTGTAGTAATGGTTATATGGGTATATACATCTGTCAAAATTCACTGAACTATACTCTTAAAATTGCAGGTATATGTATTTTACCTCAAAACAAAGTTGATTTTTTAAAAAATGGTCCCATTGGCTGCTGTCTAGAGAAGGGATTGCCAAGTAAAAGTGGGAGGACCAGTTAGAAGCCTGTCACTGTGGATCAGGTGAGCAACGATGCTGGCTTGGATTGGGGCAGTCCCAGTAGTGATACGGAAGTAAGTTGATACTACATTTATATTTTGGAAGTACAACAATAAGAGTTTCTGACACTGGGTTAGGGGGTGAAGCAGGGAATACCTTGCTAAGTGCTTAAAAGCCATTTTTAGTGGTTCATTTATAATGCCAGAGTCCCCAGGCAAGCCCATTTAGGTGACATGGTTAATTCTCTCTCATAATTCTCTCTCATAGGCATTTAATCTCCAAATTGTGGAGTAGAGACCAGCTTAAGGAACTGGCATATCCCACGCATCTTTAGTTAAGCAGCACTATGCTCCAACTTGCTATAGCTGAACTAGGAAGGTGATCCTGTTTTTTTAAAATGCCACTGAACTGTGCCTTGCATAGAGTAGGTATTCAATAATAGTTGCTACATTTACTTACTCTGTCACTGCCATTACTATAACAACTGGCCTTTTCCCCCTGTAAGTTGCCAGTAATAAGGATAGAAGCTGAGTGGGAAGCTGAATTTTAGACTGCTTCCCTGATGCACAGTGACAACTGTGATATTCTCTGCAACTAATAAGGTCAAGCTATGGCTGCTGGCATCTTCTCAACTAGGAGGGTGACCCGCCTACAGCTGTGAGAGATGAACCTGCAAAGTGACTGTCCAGACTTTGCGGGATGGAAGGAAGCAAGCTGAGTGCAGATAACATCAAAGTCAGAACTGCATGAAGAGTGTGAACAACTATATACGTGTAATTCACACACACACACCCCCATCCCCTACAAGCCCTTCTTACTCAGATGAAGTGGCCCTCTCTCTAGGCTTACACAATCATCTCTCCTTTTTCTAAATTTAGACACAACTTCTGAAGTGTTTTACAGACACTGATAGTATTAATAATGTTTGCAATTTACAATTTGTCTCTTCCTCACCTCCTTCTGCATTCACTCAGTACTTATGTGTGTGTCAAAATTGGGGCAGGCATCAGAGCTACTAAGAGGAATGAGATGTGACTCTGCAGTCTTCCATTTATTAATCTAGTCACATTCAAGTAGCCAAGTAGACTGCAAACTCCTTGAAAGCAAGATTCATCTTTGATCCTCCTTTTGGATGCCATCATATATCAAATATATAAATAAATTCCTACGAATCTATACACTGCCCAAATGTAAGGCAACTAAAAGGAAGCCATACTTTAAAGTAGGGGTCAGCAAACCCTTGTAAAGGGCCAGGTAATAAATATCAGGCTTTTTTCATGATACAGAAAATAAATACGTTGGCCTTTGTTCACCAAACAGTCTCTCTCATGACTACTCAATTCTGCCTTTGTACAGTGAAAGCAGCCATCGACAATACGGGACTGAATAAGCATGACTGTGTTCTAATAAAACCCTATTTAGAAAAACAAGTGGTGGGCCATATTTTTCCCACAGGTTATAGTTTGCCAACTTCAGCTTTACAGAATAAGACAAAAACGAACAGAACATATTGTAAAGAATACCAATAAGGGTATAAATCAGTGGTTCTTACCTTTTTTGAGTCATAAACTCCTCTGAAAATATGATTAAACATCTCCACAGGAAAATACACCTACACGACTCTGCATTCAGTTCATCAACTCTACAGCTGAATTTATGTATCATTAGTTCTGTAACAGGTTACTCATGAGCAAGTAGGTTGTTCGGGGTATATCATCACCAGGGATAGAAACTATCATATTCTCCCTCAAACTACCATTTGAGGCCCTCATCAGAACTGGGGCAGGAACCAAGGATCCTGGAAGGGCACAAGAAACTGCCCATGTTCTCCTATCTCTCTGGCACATCACACTAGGCAGTGCTGTGAGTTTTCTATACCCTTTGCCTTCACGCCCCTCCCCACTCCCTTTTGTTCATGAACTGAGCAAAAGTTCCAGAACTATCCTCATCCTCTGTTAAATATCCATTTCTGTCCCTCTACTGTGTGAAGCATTCTGCTTCAATATGAAGACTCACCAGCAAGCAGTGCACAGGGTCCCCCCTTAGATCCGTGTCCGGTGCCTGCAGCAAACGCCAGTCTCTGCCTTTGTTGTATGTGATGAAAGTCTTCACTTGGTTGTCAATCTTCTTGTTAGCCAAGAACATTCCCTTTATCCCTGCTACCTGGGAAAAATTGACATGGCTGAAAAATACATCAATTTGAGAAGCGATATATTTGTTTACTTAAAAAAGAAAGAAGGCTGTCAAAGTCAGCTGAGAGCACTTATCTTGGAGGAAAGAAAGGTTGACGATGGGGGAAGGAGGTGACACTCAAGGTATAATGACTTCCCAGGCTACTGGACAAACAACAACAGATTGGTGATCCTTATCATATGGGGGTCACAATAAGAGTTTGATAGCGACTTCTTATTACCCCTAACATAGGCTGACAGGAGCCTGCAGTTGCCAAGAGATAAATTCTCATGGTTTCAGCTCTGTTGCTTGTTAAGTAATAACAAATAAATAGGGGTTACTTTTATTGCATGCTAGCGTAGCACCCATAGTCTCAAATACTTGATCTCACCTAATCCTTAAAACAGTCCTCCTTGGTATCGTTTATTCTATTTCACAGATGAAGAAAGCTCAGGCTCATCCAAATAAAGTGACTTGCCTAAGGTCACACTGCCCAAAGGAACACAGTAAGTATCAGACTCAGGATTATCAACTCACAACTCTGTGGCTTCACAGCTTATGCTCTTAATGCCTACCTCAATTATCAAGCTATCTGCAGGCTAGGGCAATTGAAAGAGGTCAGTTAAAGCTCCTGATCCAATTACTGTTGCTTTATTTCTGTGTAAGATCTCTCTGTTAAGCCACCAGAATGCACTGAATATAAGAGGACAGCTTTTAAATTTAAATAAATGGTGGTTTTCCTAAATCATCAAATACTCCCTACTTTGTTTTTATAATACCGTTGTTCTCAGCCTAAACAGATGCTCTTAATTATTTGCCTCTGAAAATGATTGTCTCTTCTCTTCTATATGTTAGGTAAGAAGTAATCATTAGTAAGTTGTCAAAATCTTGCAAAAGCAAATAATTGTACATTATATTTTTCTTGTGTTTTGGAGTTTATCAAACACATTCATGCACATTTTACCCTGCTTGAAATTGTAACAACCCAGGAGAACAGGAGGACAGTGAGGAAAAGGACTGAAACATGTTGAGTAATGCATTCCAACGCTGCATGTACATTACCTCATTTAATACTCAGAATAACCATGGAATAATTATCATTAGCCACATTTTGAGGATGAGGAAATAGACACTTTGACTTGGTGGCTTTCTGGAACACACCTAGGGAGTAAGTGAGCAGGCTAACAAGCATATTTAAACCTACTTAACTTGGGCCCTTTACAACATGAAAAATTTTTAAGCAGAATAGTGAGGCAATAGCTGTCACCTCTTCAGACCTCGCCAAACGCCAAGCACTATGTCCAGTATTTTATTTATAAAACCTCTAATACTCACTACAAACCTGCACCTGCAGCTTTTACCCCAATTCTACAGATGAAGAAACTGAGATCACACAAAGTTGAGATTCACACCCAAATCTGCCTGACTTCAAATACAGCTTGAATCTGTCAATTCTAAGAGGTTGGGTTTCAATCGATAGAAGACACACATTTTTCCTTTGCTTTTGACAGTCAGACCTCATTAGTGTGTACCCGCTGATCTGGCATCTGGGATAATTTACAGTTGGGCCACGTTTGTACTCTTTTGAAACAACAAGTATGTTAAACAACTAAACGGTATAAATCAGTTGTGGAGAGGAATACTTTGAACTATTATACACAGGAAACACGGTGCATTCTGGGCAATCAATAGCACAGAACAATTTCTTGTGCATTGTCTAACCTCAACAAATGTGGAAGGCATAAACTCCAGGAGCACTCTACCTCCCAACAGCAGTGCGTTAATTACAAATAATATTTAGTAATTCACTGCACCAGCTCCGCAAGGGCTGCCCACCAGGGAACTCCATATTGGTTTTGCATATGTTCAAGAAGCTGTTACATACTTAAATATGAATATACTGCCAGTTCTTTAAAAAATTAAATTACGTAAATCACAATTTCACAAAGTCATACTGGTCTTTCCTCTATACCATTCCCAGGAATGAGAAATGACCCTGTCTTAACCATTCAACACTCAAGAGGGTGACAATAAGTGCAGAAGGAATAAAAATGTTACCTATTCCAGTAGTTTCATTGCCCATTTTCCTTCCTGCCCTCTCCCTCTTCTGGCAAGGGTGCCAGCACAGGGTTATGCATGTTTGGGAGCTGGTTCATTTGATTTGCAGAAGTGGCGACTTTATTGGCCCCCAACTGCTTGGCATTATCAAATGCCACTTGAGCAAAGCGCTGTGCTTTGTAATTCATCTCTGGCAGCTTGGCCTTCAGGTTTATCTTGAGGAATAAAAACTTGGCAAAGTAAAGGGAATGTGTATCAACACAGGATAGAGCTGGAGAGGGTCTGCTTATCGCTTATTTTCCTCTTGCAGCCAAGGCACTTTATCCATTTAAGGTAGGATTTTTTTGTTTTGTTATTTTCTTTTGCTGCTTTGGCCTGGTCTGCAAAGGTAGTCAGCCCTAGTCTTAGGTTTTTGTGCTATTCACTGTTCCTTTCACTCTGAGCTTGAGAAATCCATCTTTCTGTGTGTCTCACGGAAACCCCTAGGCATGCACGAGCCACTTTCTTCCAGTGCTCTATTCTAAGGTCTCATCCTATGTTTCCTGGAACCTCTACCCTCTCACTGTAGGATTTCAGATATCAACGGGACTAATACCAAGCATGAGTGCCCCAAATGTGGAATGTGCGTGGGTGTACATGTGTGTACCTGCCTATGCATGTAGTATATGTCTCTCTCTGTGTGAGTGTAGGGTCTGAGGTTCCACTGAGAATGAGGGGGCATGTTTATGTTTCTAGATAACCTCTCTATATCCACACTGCATGCATATTTATGGAATAGAGTGGAGCTGAGGGATGGAGTACGGTGGGGTAAAGCAGTATGTCCTGCGGAAGCCATGTCTTCTCATAGACACAGAATTTCTGATGACGAAACTCCCATGGGAATGGTACATCCCACTGCTGGAAGTCTGTCCTCCTTTGGGAGAAGAATTGTTGCCTTTACTGCCCGTCTGAATTCTGTATAAAGATCTTTAAGAATTCTGAGTGTGCTGGAAAGCTACTTTAGTCTTTGCTTCTCATATAGAGAAATGTGCTACCAGATATCTCAAAAGTAATTAACAGTTATTTCTTATTTAATATAAGTCAAGGTATCATTTTAATTAGACTTTAAATGTGAAGTGTTACAGCTCAAACCTTAATTCTAACACAAAGTACATTGGTGCATTTCCTGTTGCCAACATGATGGTCTCAGAACACTTTCTTCCCTTCTCTTATCTGACTCTCTTTGTTCACAAAGGTTACCCCCAACTCCCTTGGACAGCCTCCTGATATGCCTCTACCTATTCATCCCTCAAGATTCAGCTCATAAACCTTTTCCAGAAATCAGAATCTCTTTTCATCCTGATTATCCCGACACTTATTCTCTGTTCTTTAATTTGTCTCTCATACAGATGGTACCTGTATCTTGGCTGTCAACAACTGTGGGATCTTCCTATGGGACTCAATCTTCCCGTAAACATCTCTAGTACTCCTTATACTCTTTATCATATATTAATTCCAATTTTGTCATCCCCTGTGACCTCTCACATTATGGTCTCCTACTCTAACACAACCTTCAGATTGTCATTCACTCTACCAAGCTACTCTTTAAAATTAATAATAGTAAAGTAACTTTATACAAAGAACCCTGGTTTTTTTTGTTTGTTTGAAACAGGGTCTCTCCCTGGCACCTAAGCTGGAGAGCAGTGGTGTGACCACAGCTCACTGCAGCCACAACCTCCTGGGCTCAAGCGATCCTCCCACCTCAGCCTTCTAAGTAGCTGGGACAACAGTTGCACGCCACCATGCCCAGTTAATTTTGGGGGTTTTGTTTGTTTGTTTGTTTTGTTTTGTTTTGAGTAGAGATAGGGTTTTATCACATTGCCCAGGCTGGTCTCAAACTCCTGGGCTCAAGCAAGCCACCTGCCCCGGCCTCCCAAAGTGCTGGGATTACAGGTGTGAGCCACCGCGCCAGCCCCTGTCTTTGTTCCTACTGAAATAGGCAGTGAGCGTTCTGCATTAGAAGGTGCGACACCCAAGTCTCTGGTAACCATGACCGGGGAGAAGATGCGAGGAGGAGAAACGGGGAGTGACTACTAATGGTTGTGGAGCTTCTGTACTGGATGATGAAAATGGCCTAAAATTGTGGTGGTGGCTGCACAGCTCTGTGAACATACTAGAAACCATTGGATTTTACATTTTAAGTGGATAAATTGTACGATATGTGAATTATATTTTAATAAAGCTGTTTTGGAGGAAAGATATCACAATAATGGCAACCCAAATGTATTGAAATTTAATAAATTTCAGGTACCAGAGGTTGAACATCCCTAATCTAAAAATCCAAAATGCTCCAAAACTTAGAATGTTTTAGCACTGACATGATGCCATAAGTGAAACATTCTACACCTAATCATATGTGATGGGTCACAGGCAAAACACAATCAAAACTCTAAAGAAAAGAAAAATATTTAAGGTGATGAATAATCTCAAGTACACTAATATGTTATTTACTAATTATATAAATTACATTATTATATATACCCTGAAAATGTGTGCCTATTATGTACCAATAAAACATAAAAAATAAATTTCTAGAATACAAAAACTTTCATGCACAAAATTATTACACATATTATTTAAAATTAACTTCAGGCTATGTGATAAGGTGTGTATGAAACATAAATTAATCCTGTGTGTATACTTGGGTCCCAGTTCCAATATATCTCATTATATATATGTGAATATTCCAAAATCCAAAAATATCTAAAATCTGAAACCCTATTGGTCCCAAGCATTTCAGATAAGGTATCCTCAACCTGTACATGAAAGGCTTTGCAAACAGGAACTTGTGAATATCTGCATGCATTAGAGTTCATATTATCCTCATTTACAGATGAGAAAACTGAAGTTCAGATGTGGCTAATCACTTGCCTAAGGTCATCCCCCTGGAGAAT